TATATGAAAGCTTGTAATAAAAAAAAAAATCTTGCAGTAAAAATTCCCAAGGTTTAAGTTCCTGAACTATGTTGGGCATTATGGAATGTCTTCTTTTTCTTTGCTTGTTGTTTCTCCACCTTTGTGCAAAGGATAGGATTGGGGCAGTATTATTGGTTTGAAAAAAACTAGACCCACGTTGGCCACTCTGTTTAAGTTAATCATCATCCTATGTTTCTGTCATTTGCTCAGTCTCTCTCCTGATCACCTCTGCTCCACCTCTAAGGAATAGGCATCAAAGGGCATTTTCATGTGATGATTGTTTATTCACATTAATATAAGGAACATCACAGCAGATTCATGGTTTGCTGAATGGTTAGTACTTGATTTTCAGCAGAGTTGAGTACTCAATATTCCAGTTAATGGGAGCTGTTGGTGCTCAGAAGTTTTCAAGCAGGAAAAGCTTATGTGCATATGTATGCGTAGGGCCCTACCAAATTCACAGCCATGAAAAACATGTCACAGACCGTGAAATCTGGTCTTTTGTGTACTTTTTGTGTACTATACTATACAGATTTCACAGGGAGACCAGCATTTCTCAAACTGGGGGCCCTGACCCAAAAGAGGGTTGTAGGGGTATTGCAAGGTTATTTTGGGGCATTATGGTACTGCCACCCTTACTTCTGCACTGCCTTCAGAGCTGGGTGGCTGGACAGTGGTGGCTGCTGGCTGAGGGCTCAGCTCTGAAGGCAACAGCACAGAAGTAAGGGTAGCAATACTATACCATGCCATCCTTGCATCTGTGCTGCTGCTGCTGGCAGTGGCGCTGCCTTCTGAGCTGGGCTCCTAGCCAGCAACTGCTGTTTTCTGGCTGCCCAGCTCGAAAGGCAGCACCGCCGCCAGCAGCAGCACAGAATTAAGGGTGACAATACCATGACCACCCTACAATAACCTTGTGACACCCCTCTACACACACTATCCCCTTTTGTGTCAGGACCCCTACAGTTACAAGACTGAAGTTTCAGATTTCAATATCTGAATTAATAATAATAATAAAAAAAAACCACTTATGATTTTTAAAATCCTACAACCATGAATTTGGTGAGGCCCTATGTATGTGTAACGAATCCATGCCTGAATATGCAATCAGTCATACTGTCAATGGTGAGGCTTGAACCGAAGACAACCTTCTACAGGAAAAAGCAGGAGCCCCTACCACTTGAAGTGAAAAATGGCATGTTTAACTGCCAGATTGCAGCTATCTGCATAATCTCTGGAATCCGGCACTACAAAGATATGATTGCATGCTTACACACCTAGGTAATTTTCCACATGAATGGATTCAGTATATGTAGTAGATGCTTCCACTGAACATTATTCCCTATGGACAAGATAGCATTCACTTTTTTGAACATCTGGGCCACAGATGCTTGTTTACTAATGGGGTCTGAAAGAGAAACAGAGAAGGGGATAGGTCCAGTGGGGGAGTAGGGAGAGAAAGGGAAAGGAAAAGCCAGGAGAGAGGGGATGGGAAAAGAGAAGGGTGGCAGACAGCAGGTTAGGAAGAGAAAGAATGGGATAAACTAGTGGAGGATTAAAAAACAGGATGAGCCTGATGAGGTATAAAAGGGAGAGAGAAATGGAATAAGGCAGTGGGGAGAAAGACAATGGGATGGAGAATCCTGAATAAGATGGAAAAGGATGGAGAGCTGGGAGAAGGTGAATGAGACAAATGAAGGGGCAAATCGTAATGGGGAGCAAATGACAATAGCTGGACTGAATTTCAGGGAAGAGATCAGAAATGGAAGAGAATGGACACAAGTCCGTGTGTATGGGGAGGATGAAGAGGCTTCACTCACAAGTGTTAAACTCATACTCTGTCAGCCTGTTATTCCACACACAGAACGTACAAAAATAATAGAGGGAACAATGGTTGAGATCCAACATCCCTCTGACAGCTCATCTACACCGAGAGAAAACTGCAGTGTTGATGGCCTTTTAACTTAGACAGGAGATAAACATTCTTGGTGTGGGCTCTCTTTTGACAGTTGCTAAACTAGAATATTGAATGAGAGTGGTTGAGAGTGTCAGGGGATTGACTGTGTGCTCTGCATCAGCAGTATCACCCAATGGAGATGCTCCAGGGCATAACACCAAGGGCCAGTTATGGTTCGGGGTAGCGTCACCAACTGCAAGAGTCCAAAGCAACAGAGCAAAGGATCAGGTGAGAGTGACCGTAAGCGATGACCAGAAAGACGACATTTAGAGATAAAATGGCTAGAAAGAATAGTGGTTACTGGCTAAGGCGGCGAATAGTACAGTTTGTCCAAAGCCAGTGGCTAAGGCAGGCATAGATGATGAGCCTACTGTGGGTGCATTTTCCCCTAGAAAGAAGTTTGTAGAAACACTCTTTAGTTTTATAATAAAATAGGAGAAGAAAATCTTATAAAACAAGTTCTTGGAATATCTCCCACCACCATTTCTTCTCATTGCCAGACTTCCAGATTTTCCTCTGCTGCTTCTCTGCTATTTTTCCACATTTGCCTGTTTAAAGATAAACAAAAGGCAAACAAAGGAACACACATCAGGTCTGCAGACTTATGGCAATGATGACTGTGCCTACACTTCTGCTGCAGTGCAGTCAGATTAATGCTGGATGGTGTTGGTTGCTAGATGGTGCTAACTTCTCACAGAGAAGGCCTAAGGTTCACTATTGCCTACCTCAAGTGCCTAAATAACAAGTTAAGTCGTACTGTGCTGATGCTGCTAGGTATATAATTAAAAACAGTATCTGTCTAACAAAGCTGTCAGCTAACGCCTGCTGCTATTATGCAATCACACAGAGTTGGCTATTAATGGGTGACATGACAATTCACCCCTCGTGTCCCCATAGTAGACAGAGCACCATTTCAACATTAAATTTTCTTCCAGTTCTTACCACTTTTAAAGCAACCTACAATTTAGCTTTAAAATAAAACGATCACACCAAGAATTTGTTACAGAAGCAACACGATCTAGTAGCCAAAGAACTCCATCCGGAATTCTAGACCCTGACTCCTCTCAAATAATTGCAGCAACTTAATGCATCTGTCTCATTTTCCCTGTCCCCCCAGTGTTCAAGAGCTGGTGAGAGAAATCTAATCCTCGAAAAAGCTTTTATTAAGTTGGGGGGGAAATAATTAACTATCTTCAGTTTAGAGCTAAATGACTTGCTGATAACGTCTTTTGTTTGCGCTAGTTCCAGATATGTCTGGGCTTTATGAAGGTGAAGTTTATTTCACCTCAAAATTCACTCCACCTATATAGACACCAACCACTTCAGCTCTATGCTGAAGAAGCATGATGAAATGAAATTACTGTCACTCCTAGGGCCAGAGTGCTGTACTACCACACAGCCTTTCTGCCCATTCACTACAGCTGCTACTCCAGCCATAGACTGGAACACAAGTCCATGTTCTTCTGCAGTGGGCTTGTGGACCACTGGACGCGTATAATCATTTGCAGTTCAGTAAAGTTCAATTTCACAGGACAGGAAAATATCACAATTATATTGCAAACTACAGCATGTAAATGTAAAAAACAAAACTAACTGTAACTTCCTAAAAGTTACATTACAAACTTGTTAATATTGCTTTAATTTATAACTTCCTAAAGTCTAATTATAGGGAGTAAACATGGTGTGGTGGGAGACTAGAGATGCAAGTCCTTGTTCCAAAACTTCATGTTTAATGTTGGATAAGCATTTATCTTGGTATATTCATTTCCCTATCTGTGATCAGGGCCGGCTCCAGGCACCAGCTTAACAAGCAGGTGCTTGGGGCGGCCAAGGGAGACAGGCGGCACCTGTGGCAATTAGGGGGAAGCAGGTCCCTCGCTCCCTCTAGGAGCGAAGGACCTGCCGCTGAACTACTGCTGCCGCCGATCGTGGCTTTTTTTTTTTTTTCCCCCCCTGCTTGGGGCAGCAGAAATGCTGGAGCCGGCCCTGTCTGTGACACCGGGATCACAGTACAGGGGAGTTGCGAAACTTAAGTAAGCCTTCAATATTAATTACTTGGAGATACTCAGATAGCTGGTGTTTTAGAAGTATGAAACATTATTTCCTGCCTTCAAATAATTATGTAGCCTTCTTATGTTAACTTTCATCCAAAAGTATCCCCTGGTACTGTACAAAGGCTAACTAATAATTTTAAAATACAATAATATGCGCACGTGAGAGAGCACGCATGCACAGAATACCCAAGGGGGTCAGCGTAAAGGTATGAATCTGAGCTGGCCACATTATTTATGGATGGCAAAGGCACAAATGAGTTCTAAAGATGATCTCAAGGAAATAGCCAAACAATCTTTACACCACACTATATCATGTCTATAAAACGTGCGGAACGTATTATATGGAGCAGTGTAAAGGTTTCATTGCCTTAAGTAAATTTTTTAAATGGCTCTACTTAGATTTTGAAGTTTACACTTCACTTTGATAAATGGAATGGTAGAAGGATGAGCCCAAGTTTGCCATTGTTTTTGCGGGTCTGGAAGAAGCCATTTACAAGGATAAGTTAACTGAGAAGCAGATCATTGATTTACACTGCAATGGCTGTCTGTGACCACTGAAAGTTCAACTTTTCCCAAAATTTACCAAGCATAGTGTCTGCAGTATAGGGGGGGAAAAAAGTGTGTGGGGAGAATGGGTAGGGAAGAGAAAGGAACAAAACTTACTATGAAGAATGTGGAGGCTGCCTGTAATAAATATTTCACGACTGTTTTATACAGTATTTGCCCGACTGTTTTGTGCAATATGGTTACAAGGGGTTAATTTCAGCAGAGTTGACAGTACACATGTAGACAAGCAGACAGTAGCTTCTGAGAGCCCCATTTCTTGATACGTAAAGTGTCATTCATTTTGAAAGTTTACCTTTAATGCAACAACAGTTTAATTCTGCACAAAATAAGCCATTGTTTTAAAACTAATGTTTTGCAATCAACTTTAATCTATTTGCTAAAATGATACACTCTGGTTTTCCTACCTGTGACTGTGGATGAGAGCGTTGAAAGCCAATCCATCAGACCAGCTAGTGGTGAAATTGATAACATTGACCTGCGGGTAATTGCGAGTTGACTGGCGGACCCAGCTCAGTAAGATCTTTTCACTGTTTGTCTGTTGCAACCCAGCCATGATGTTTTTCATTACATCTTTGACCTGCATTAGGAGACAGAATTTCATCAATGGCTGAACTTATTTATTCAAAGCAAATGCTTTTCGTGACCCAAATAAGCACCAATTCTCTTATCCTTTAGCTTAAAGTGATAACGAATGGGGTCTCATAAATAAATGAGTTATAATTGACACCATTGTATAAAAGGAGCAGGGAAGCCTGACTTTGCTAAAGTGACCAGTTTTGACCTGTCTTCTTTGCTGTGTATTCAATATATTCACCACTACAACAACTAAAAGTCTGGTTACTGGATATAAAAATGTACATTTTGGGAGTATGCTTTGCATGGGAATCATCCAGGGAAAGAGTTTATTTGAAATGAGTTTTTTCTTAAACAATTTTCTTACTTAATAGGATAAGTACAAAGGTAGATAAATCAATGGGGTGCATGAATGAGAGCCAAGTGTGTCCTCTAGGCACAGAACAGTACCTTCTACTAGAATATAAAAGGTATACTTAAGAAATATACACGCACACAAATAAAGAGAGACAGAACATGTCTATTTAAGCAGTATTGTACAGGTTTTGTTTTCATGAGTGAGTTTAGGTAGATTAATTATGAATTGCTAATCATGTTCCACTCTGATCAGAGGGACAGATATCCAGGACTCCCACTGTTATTTCACTGTAATGACAATTTTGAGAGCTTCCCAAAGGACAACCCTCTGATAGGTTTTCAAGCTGAGAACACTTATGCATTTCCTAGCCACATTCATTACTAGTGACCTTAACAGTAACTTCTATTAAGCAGTGCCTAACATTGGGTTATGCTGTCTTAAAGGAAGGTTTTGATTTTGTTTTTAAATCAATGTAGTCTCTATTCTACTATGTTTCCAACCAGTATTAAATATCTTCTAGGATAAAAGGACTAAATATCCAAACTGGACATTTATAACTTGTACAATTATCCACGTATTGTTTCATTCTGTACTTATCAAGAAATATTCACTGAAGAGTAATTTTTAGATTTGAAGCATTTAGCCTGCATGATCACTTCCAACATGAATCTGCCTCAATTTTGGGGAGTAAAAAATGTAAGCAACATCCAATAGTTAGCATTTCATAAACATGCTAATTAACTAAAGCCTCAAAAGTTCTACAGTAATTCTGTAAAAACATATCAGGTGCTATTTTATAATTCTTCCCCTGACATGCTTCAGTCTGGACTCCATTTATCTACAAGATATCACATTTCCTTTAACAAACTTAATATTTCTTTTCCAAGTTAATTATCAGTTAAAATATTTTTTAAAATTTCAACTAAAACAGAAAATTCTATGTGCTACATCTCTATAAAATGACTTGTACAATTGATATTAATGGTTGTTTATGGGAGTTTATGCTGATGCATGTGAATTTAGCAAAGATGAATTAGAGGAAAAGGTGCAATTAATGTAGAAGGACTAAGCACTATTTAGTGGTAGGAAACTTTTGTGATAAGGTTCTAATATTTTTTTCACCTAGAGAAAAGAGCCAGTGAATGTGAGGGACAGCAGGAACAAAGAGATAACGGATAAGGTAACCAAACATATCCAGATTTTTTACTGAAACAGGCAAGATTTGTTCTTACATGTTTTATGCAATGGGAACATGCAGAACTTAGAGGAAAACATGAATTTCTGAGTGAAGCTACTCATTTTTCCATGCCTCTGGAATACATGCTGCCTGAGGAGTGCACATCACACGTGATGAGCATTTTTTCCCTAATCAGACAGTTTACAGAAAAAATTTGTAACAATTTAATTAAACTGTTTGAGTTAAACCAGTGAAAACTCATGTGGACATCAATTTAAAACATCTTTTACTGCTTAGGTTGTCTTGTAATTTTATAGTAAACTAAATAAATATAAGCCAGGTTTAAATTGATTTAAGAGTGTCCATACACAAAGTTGCACCAGTTTAACTAAATAGATTTAAACATCACACCTTTAGTTAACTAAGTGCAATTTTGTATTGACAACACAGATTCACTCTGTCAAAAGATGAAATGTTGCAAAAGCAGCCACATTCAAAAGGGTCGATTGGCTATTACTTAAAGTTCAGTCTGACTGCTGCTGAATAAAACAAGATTAACTCCATAATAAGGTCAAATGTGAGTCTAAGTTGTAACTTTGAAATTCTTATTGTTGCTTAACAAGATGCTTACACATATTTCAAGGTGTCCTTATACTGATACAACACAACATTCATATTGAATCAGGTAGGATGTTGGTTTGGGCACCACAGGAAGATGTAACCATGATATTAAAGTTATGTACATACCTAAAGTGAAATCAGGCTCTGTTGCAGACAGTGGCAAAACTCCCATTGACTTCTATCTGAGCAAGTTTTTAAACATTGAATCATTTTAAACCACTCCATTTGGCAGCGTTCTTTTTGCTGATTAAAGTTACTGTGCCGGTGATTAAAGGTACCACTTACGTTACCTTT